CTCCATTATTGATGTATTGTTTGTATTAGTAACACAGAAGTTAACAGATTATCTCCATTATTGATGTGTTTATACTAGTAACACACAAGTTAACAGATTATCTCCATTATTGATGTGTTTATACTAGTAACACACACACGTTAACAGATTATCTCCATTATTGATGTATTGTTTGTATTAGTAACACAGAAGTTAACAGATTATCTCCATTATTGATGTGTTTATATTAGTAACACAGAAGTTAACAGATTATCTCCATTATTGATGTATTGTTTGTATTAGTAACACAGAAGTTAACAGATTATCTCCATTATTGATGTGTTTATACTAGTAACACAGAAGTTAAATTATCTCCATTATTGATGTATTGTTTGTATTAGTAACACAGAAGTTAACAGATTATATCCATTATTGATGTACTGTTTGTGTTAGTAACACACAAGTTAACAGATTATCTCCATTATTGATGTATTGTTTGTATTAGTAACACAGAAGTTAAATTATCTCCATTATTGATGTGTTTATATTAGTAACATAGAAGTTAACAGATTATCTCCATTATTGATGTGTTTATATTAGTAACACAGAAGTTAAATTATCTCCATTATCAACTATGAGAAATTAGTATTTCAAATTGTTGCTATTTTTTATTATTCCAACAATTGATTAAGTGAAATTATGACTATTCAAACTATGCAAGTAATCAAAACATTGCTATTATGTTTGTTTGTTTGTTGTTAAGTGCAAACAACTGTAACACAGTATCACTCAGACGGTATGGATAGGGTTAAAATACTAGACCACAGAATGAGTCAAGTCAAATATATAACTATTATTCAGCTGCATTATAAACTGGAAACATTGATTTAAGTCTCTTCCTTTACAAAAAATAAGAGGGGGGGGGTAGGTCATCATGACAAAAAAGTTAGATTGTTTTATTTAGTTCAGGCATGTTAATTTTTTATTTTTATTTTATTGAGGTTTTTATTTATACTTTTGAAAATGAGTCAGAAGTGATTCTAAACTGTATCTTTACACAACCTACATACCTTCTTCTTTGATATGAAATTGCCATAAACATGAATTAATTTATAATTTATGAGTTTTTAAACAATTTACTCACCCACTTGAATATCTTATCTTCTGAAAGTGATTATAAATCCTACAAATCAGGTCATTGGTGAAAAATTTTACTTCATCTATTTTTCTCAGCCGCTCCTTAAAATTCATTAGAACTTGCCACAACTCTTCTCTTAAAAAAAAAAAGTTATCTTATAATTCTTCCTACAATAGACAAAAATTGGTTATCAAAATTAATTAGCATGTATGATAATTCTTCCTACAATAGACAAAAATAGGTTATTAAAATTAATTAGCATGTGTGATAATTCTTCCCATAATAGACAAAAATTGGTTATTAAAATTAATTAGCATGTATGATAATTCTTCCTACAATAGACAAAAATAGGTTATTAAAATTAATTAGCATGTGTGATAATTCTTCCCATAATAGACAAAAATTGGTTATTAAAATTAATTAGCATGTATGATAATTCTTCCTACAACAGACAAAAATTGGTTATTAAAATTAATTAGCATGTGTGATAATTCTTCCCACAATAGACAAAAACTAAAGTTATTCCAATTAATTAGCACATGTGATAATTCATTCCAAGACAGACAAAAACTCCTGTTACTTGAAATTATTTAATATTACATTCTTCCTTTAAATCAAAAAATAAGTTACACTGAAACTAAATATTCATTACAAAAGTCACTAAAAGTGTATTTAATTTTTAATCATACCTGATCAGACATAGCACATGTTCATGTTTAGCAACCAAATCTTCATACCACCAGAGCACAAAGTCTCTATTTATAAAATCAATGATCTCACTTATGACAGCATCAGCATTCCGAGAAATTAAAAGTGACTGTTTTCTGGACTCTTTCTTCCAAATTTCTTCATATTCCTTATATCGTTCCTGAGAAAGATTGTATATAATAATAAAATATACTAATAAAAAATACAGATTCCTAAAGCATTAAGGGACGGCATCTTTTAATTCACTCAAAACCAAATGAATATATAACTGCCTACAAATTGTTAAGAGAGAATCATGACAGGACTAACTTTTCTTTAGCATTTTCAAGATATATAAATAACAAGAAATAGGTACAGATGGAGGTTAACGGTCAATTATCTTAAATAAAAACATTGCTTATATAAAGAATGACAGTAACAATTTAAATATTTTATCATTCTAATTAATTCATAAAGTATTTAGATAAAGTAAAGCAAGAAATATCAAATAATAAGTATAATTCTCTCTGCCAACTACTTGTAATTAGACACTTCCAAAATCTGTCTTTTTGATGGAAGACATATAATTAAAAACGATAAACTGTTTTACTCTGTTTTTTACACGTTTTGACTTTTGGGTACAGATGTGCCAATTGATCAGTCAGACAACCATGCTCAATTAATAATTAGTTTAACAATAATGCCCTAACATAGCTCTAGGCTCCTTGCAAATTCATGTTTTACAGCCCACGAAGGGAGAGCTCAAACAGTACTTTCAAAAACCTTCATTGTGCCATTGACCTTTATAAAAAACACAGCTTGAAAAGGATTCAGGAACATTACTATTACATCGTCTCATTACGGCAATAAATAATAAAAAATATCTTACTTTTATTTAAATGATGCTTAATTCACATGTATTATAGGGTAATCTTACTACTGTTGTTTAACTTGCATAGTTTTATTGGTTTATTTGTGCCAGTTAAAACCTCACTTTATTTTCTCTACTGACTTCCATAGAGAATGGATTTAATGACAGTGTCTATTACTAATTAATTACTTCAACTATTTGGCACACTTCTACTTTTCATTTCAAATATTTCAGCTATTTAAAACTTTAAAAACAATTGGAACATAGAGCCAAAATAATGTTTTTTTAATAACCCTATATAAATCAATCAATTTTTAATGATTTTTATTTTTATATAGAATATCTTATTTCTCTGAATGGAAATTTTATTTAGAGTTCTAAACATGGCATGTTTTTAACTTTTATCAGCATTTAAAAAAAAACTTGTGAAAAGGTTAAAATACCTGATGAATACTTGTCGTAAATGCACCCTTATTTAGAACCTGAAAATGTCTGAGTAATACCTGAACTTAGTGAGGACAACCCAAAGATACAATACAACATTCATAAAACCACAGTGACTTATCTGCTGGGGAAGTTAGTTGTAAAGACCAGTTGATACTTACGGCCAGTTATTTCTTGAAGCGATGCACTACTGACTGGTTCTTTTACGTCCACAACATACTTGTTCCCTGTAAATAACATTAACTTGCAGCTCATCAAAAATCCAATGGCTATAACTCCCAGGTACTCCAGAATCTTAATGACTAACCCAAGCTTGCCAAAGTAATGAAGTAGGATACCAGCTATCGCTACAGCTACAGACACCTACAGAAAAGTCTGCAGTGAATTATCATGTACAAATCACAAGAACAAAACCCTATGGGCACAATTTACACAGTAATCTACAGTTATGTACACAAATATTTTATTGATATACACAGTTATTTACTAACACTAACAATATAAAGCTGAAACTTGAGAAATACTTTCATCACTACAAGGTTGTGGTTATCTGGATGATTAACTTGATTACCTACGAGCAACAATTAGTGTCACTATTGATCAATTGATATTATAATTAAATTGATTAACATCACGAAGACAGTAAACTAATATAAACTAGTATTTCAATTTACAATTCCTTTCAATTATTCTAACTACCTAAACAATCAAAATAATGCCATTATGATTATTTTGAGCTTGTTTAGCTAGCAATTCCCATTAACTCAGATGGTAAACTCATGATTCAAAGGTCATAGGTTTGATTCATGTTGCTGTCAAACATGTTCCATTTTTTGGCTTGTGAGGGTGTTGTATTTGTTTTTCATATATGGCAGAGTTACTAAGGTAGCTTAATTGTAAAGAGATCAATCATATTAGTAGAAGGTAGTTGAAATGTTTACGGAAAAAAAAACAAGGTGGAAATAAAACCAGTCTCGTAAGAAAAAACAGTTAGTTGAAGGTAACTGACTAATGAGCCTGTCGATTAGCGAGTTTCACTAATCACCAGCTCTAGTTAATATACCACTAAGAATCTATACTCTGAAACCTGAGATTCCAGGTATATATATATACATGTTAAAATTACAAAAAAAGACAATTTAATGAAGTATTCTTCCTATATTGTTATTACATAAAACTTTTTCAACTATCCTTATTCTTGAGACTAGAATTTGCTCTAAAGATTCAAATTTGGGCATAAAACTATAGCCAGAGGAAAGAGGGTAATAAAAATCAGATAAACAAAGGATCTCTTTATAACAATCAAATATTTGACTTATTATCAAAAACACTTGATACTTTCTGATGAAACTGTTCTACCACTAAATAATAAAACTGGCTGATAACCAAGAATTATATTCCACAAATGATCACAATACTTTAGAAAGGTTTAAACTTACTTTATTTCCAACTAAGAGATGTGTAAACCTAGCTGGCAGTTAACAATCAAAATTACTATGTTCCCAAGTGGTTACATCCTTACTATTTACTTCCTACAGATGCTTATTCACGAGACACACACACCTTACGACTACTGAAACAATTAATCATATCCTGACAAAGAAAGATCGATTACCTGTTGTTTTTTGTCATTACAAGTTGAAGACAAATAATTCTTACAACTAAACTAATTTTTAAGAAGTTATGAATATTTTTTTCAGTTAGTTAGGAAATTAAAAGTATGAAAAAATATTCTATGATGATCTTTTTTGGGGACTTACCACAAAATATAAATGTATGCTTCAATGTCCTCGTACGCTTCAGAGATTATTTTTAAATACTTTGGTGTTCCTATGACCTTACCATGTTATTCCAATACATTGATGTTCTAATAAATCTACTAAGTCTTTTCAACAATCTTCATTAGTTATTCTGATGTACAACTAGATTATAATCCATTAAAAAAAACCCCTAAGACAAAATAACAGAAACACATGCACACACCAATGACAGAAACAAATATAGCCTACAGAAAAAATAAAACAAGATCTTTAAAAATGTTATTTATAACAAGAAAGTAAGTATGTGTACTACAAATATTGTAAATCAAGTTTAAGAAAAGTGATAAAATAAAGAATAACTTAATTAAAATTTCTAACAACTAAATACTATGGTTTGTAAGTATAGAAATCTTTCACTAGTTTACAATTTCCTACCTTAAAGTATTTCATGGCTTTTTTTTTTTGTATGTCAGGTTTCACTGTTCCCTTAGCAACCAAATCATCTTTGAGACAGATCTTTCCTCTATCTTCATGCACTTAGGAAAAACTGTTAAATAATAAATGTCAGTTTTTATTCAAACAACAATTATACAAAGTTAGACACTGAAAACAGAATCACATAAAACCACCAGTAAGCATATACAAGGATCTATCTTCAAATTACGACTCAAATATAACTTCCACCTCCTAAAACAAATCTTGAGTACAATTGTGATATATCAGTTAAAAGCTTTGCACTTTTTGGCCATACGTGTCACTAGTTAGGGTGCAACAACTAAGACTAATGTTATGATTTTGTCACTGTACACTACAGGTTTATTTCATTTATCATATCAATAGTTCAAACTAAGAGATTGTAAAATACTTGTATACCGTGTCCCTATTGGTTATAGGATGTTCGATGTTTTGTGTTGCACTCATGTTTGTTTACTTCATCATTATTTATTAACACTTTAAATAAATTCACTAAAATTGTCTTATTTTAGTTTTTTTCTACTTTAAAAGTACTGGTTGAGTATGATTAATATAAGGTTAGGTTGTTTTTTAACATTCCACATGCTAATTGTCTTATTTTAGTTTTTTCTACTTTAAAAGTACTGGTTGAGTATGATTAATATAAGGTTAGGTTGTTTTTTTAACATTCCACATTAGTCTTAGTCTTAATGCTGGACTGCTGTCCTACTCCTAAAAGCACGAGAAAACCCTCTCATTTTCAGCATTAAATAAGAATAAAACTTTGATTTTTGTAAATAGAGAAATTTACATGATTGCCTAACAGTTTTCAAGACATTTAAATGTATATTTGTTCTTTACTACATACACACACACTCAATAGAGGGAGATACTAACAACCACAATTGAATTATTTTTTTAAAACATAGCAATGTTCTTCTCACATCAAAAATTAATATTTTTCAAAATTTCCAAACCCCACCAGTACAAATCGCTTCTCAATATTAAAACTTTTGTATATTTCGGCCCATTCACTAAGACTGGTAAAGCCCTTGTGAGCAGGAAACCAATCTAAACAGAATAAGTTGATTTCACAACTTAAATAACTATGTTTGTTTATTATCAGTAGACAAATTCAACTTAGAAAGTTGCACTGTGTCTACCTTCTACTTGTGAAATGATAAAAGTAATGCCAGACCTATTAATGAAAAGGTCATCTTGAACCATGTTGTTTCGTATTTTTCGTTCCTGTCTATTTCTAGAGTATGACAAGATTTCATCTTCTACACTGAGGCCAATAAGGCCTCAGTGTTTAACTTGACTGTTCCCACCTTTTTCTTCAGGAATAAGGCCTCAGTGTTTAACTTGACTGTTCCCACCTTTTTCTTCAGGAATAACCCTGAAGAAAAAGGTGGGAACAGTCAAGTAAAACACG